GGGGGGGGGAAATTTTAGAAAATAGAAGATGGAAGAGGAAACAAGCGGTGAAATTGAACCTGTTAAATTAATTGGAGTTATTTTTTTGAACTTTAAACAGACTTAGCTTTTAAGCTGGACTGGACTTTATTAAAGAAAGACAATTTTTGGAATTAATTTTAAAGAGAGATTTTGTATTTTTTTTTCTCTTTTTTGTTGATTTTCTTTTTTCTTCTTAAAGGGGAATTTTTTGTTTAGAAACTTTTTAGACTTTTCTTGGTTTGTTACAGTTTAACAAAGAACTGAGCCAAGTAATTTAAGCAACACTGCCACCTAGAGGCCCCTAAAAATTTTTTTTTCTCTTCTGAAGGAACTGAAGATAAATTGGTGGGAATGTTTTCCTAGTCACAGGCTGTTTATGTTAAGATAGAGAGTAGAGCGCTGAATGAATGTTTATGCAGGTGCTTCTCTTGTAAAACAATTTAACAGCTGGAGACTGAAGTTGAAAGAAACAAGATTGCTGTGACTTTGGATTATATTTTGCTGAAACTTATTGAAACTTTGATATTGTGCCTGTATGGTGGCTGTAATTCACTTTGTGACTCATCTTTAAACTATAACTGAATCTTTTTCTTTTTTCTGCTGGCTGGTAGCCATTCTTGGCCTAATTTTCTCTTTTCTTTTTGGGGGTTTATTTTTAAGCTATCAGCCTCAGCCTCACTGTTGGAATATAACTTTTTTTTCTCTTTTTTAAGTTTCTGTTTTTTTCCTTTTCCCTTTTTAAGATTACTGGTGGATTTATCTCACTATTTCTCTTCCTCTTTTTATATATACTATTTTAAAATGTGGTGTTTTTATATTCTTCCTCTTTTCCCTTTTCTTCACATTTTTATATTTTAGTCTCTTTTCTTTTTTAGTTGGCCTTTTGGCCTATTGGCCTTTTGGATGAAATTGGTCTATCTTTTTTCTCTCTTCTCTTTTTATTGTTCTTTTTTTTTAATTTTATTTTTATTTTTTTCTTCTTTTTGAAACTTTTTCCTCCCCCCCCCTCCTTTTCGATAATTGGATTAGGGTAAAGAAGATCCTGAAGATAATTGTTCCTGGTGTTAAATTTTTTGACTGGAATTGTAACTAATTAAAGATGAAGACGACAACCACCTCACTAAGTCCAAACTCTCAGCAGTCAATTCGCACCATGCTGCAGCAGGAAAAAGAGAGGGAGAAGGAAAAGGGAAAGGAAGTTACACTACAAATGATAATGCAAGCAATACAAGAACAAGGGAAACGAATGGAAATGATAGAAGAGAGAACAGAGAAAACAGATGAGAAAATAGAGAAAATACAACAAATGATGATAAAGAATGAAGAGAGATTTCAAACAATAGAAGAAAAAGAAGACCGAACAAATAAAAAAGTTGGAGAAATTGATAACAGGCTGACAGTGGTTGAAGAGGACAAGGGAAGAGGAATGCTTGCCTGGGAGATGGATAGAGCTGGTTTTTATCTGAGATTTCAGAATATTGAAGAAAAGGGAGAAAATCTCACAGAAATAATGATAGAATTGCTGGCAGGAGGTTTGGAGATACCCAAAGAAAAAATGATGGATGGAATAGACGAAGTGTTCCAAGTGTTTACAAGATATGCTATGAAAAATAAATTACCTAGAGAAGTCCATATGAAATTTACTAAGAAAGCAATCAAAACGCAAATATTACAGACAGCAAGAGATGACCCACTGAAATACAAAGGAAAGGAGATCATAGTCCTGAAACAAGTACCGAGAAAAGTGAGAGATCTGAGAAGAGAGTATCAATTCTTGATGAAAATTTTAATCAAAAAGGAAGTGAGCTATAGATGGCTGATTCCAGAAGGCTTAATATTTACTTTGCAAGAGCAAAGACATAGACTGGACTCAATAGAGAAAGCAGAATTGTTTTATGATGAATATTTTAGATGAAAAGAAGAAGAGAGAAGACGGGAGGAGGAAATAGACAAATATCAAAAGGAGATGGTCGACATAAGAGATAAAGAAAAAAGATGAAAAAATACAGGAAGAAGGTGCAGTAGGTGGAAGGGTGGAATTCAAAGAACCAAGAGAACAAAGAACAATGAGAGCAATTAACCCTACATATAAAGTATAAACAATGGAAGAAAAAAATTGATTACAATAAATATAAATGGATTAAACTCAGCCATCAAAAAGAAAAAAACATTTGATAAATTAGAAAAATTAAAATTAGATATAGTCTGCTTGCAAGAATTTCATATCAAAAAAACAACATGTCCAAGTATTGAATCATCCTAGAATTGGCAATTTGTATTCCTCACTGGCACAACAAAATAAAAGATGAGTGGTGTTACATATTAAGAATACAATTAAAGCTAAATTAATTTTTACAGATGAAGAAGGAAGAATATTGATGGTGGAAGTAATTGATAATAACTTAAAGATGCTTTTAGTAGCAATTTATGCACCAAATGAAAAACAAGAAGAATTTTATAAAAAATTGCATAAGAAAATAATAGAATTGGAATATGATAACATATATATCTTGGGAGATTTTAATGCAATAGTGGACATAAAATTGGACTGTAGAGCACAGAAAGCTAACAAAAGAGAAGGAATATAATTATTATAAATTAAAGCAACAGATTGCGACAGACTTGGAAAAATGGAAAAATCTACAATTATCTTTAATAGGGAGAATATCTACAATCAAAGTGAATATATTACCGAGGATATTATATTTATTTCAGATGATTCCAATTAAATTAGGAAAATAATATTTTGAGGACTTAAACAAAATAATGTTGAAATATATATGGCAGGGAAAGAAAGCAAGAATTAAACTTTTACAGGAGACTAGAATGAGAGGAGGTTTTGGACTACCCAATTGGGAATTATACTACCAGGCAGCAACACTGATGTGGTTGAAAGAATGGATTGTGCTGAGAAATACTAGATTTTTAACATTGGAAGTCATGATTTACAATTGGGGTGGCATGCATTTTCATGGTATAAGGAAAGCAAAGTACATGGACATTTTCAGAGGCATTATATTCGAGACACCCTATTATTAACATGGGAGAAAATAAGGAAACAACATTATATGAAAATTCCAGTCTGGGTATCAACAATAGAGGCATTTGTGTATCCAATTGTTTTTAAAATGGAACATATAGTCAGATACAATGAAATCTTAAATGAAAAGGGTGAACTCAAAACAAAGCAAGATTTAGATGAACAAGGAATAAACATGAATTGGTATTCATATGTGCAAATACATTCTAGATATGAAAAAGATAGTAAGAAAGAAGGATTCGATCAAGAACCTTCTGAATTAGACAAAATCTTAACAGGTACTGATGAGAGGATGATTAAAAAACTATATGCTTATTTTATTAGGAGTGAAGAACAAGTTAAAGAAACGATGATTGCATGGGGGAAAAATTTTGGATATGGGATAGATTTGGAAAAATGGCAGAAATTATGGACCGGAAACTATAAATTAACGTCAACAGCATATAAAGAGAATTTGTATAAGATGTTTTACAGGTGGCATCTACCCCCAGCAAGAATAGCAAAGATGTTCAAGGATAAATAGGCGAAATGTTGGAAATGTCATCAGATACCTGGATCATATTACCACATGTGGTAGACATGTGTGGAAGCTAAAAGATATTGGACTAAAAATACACACATGGTTGGAAAAAATGACAAAACAGTATATAGATTTAAAACCAGAGATATTTTTATTGGGAATTTTACCTGGAGATTACAACAGAGAATTGACATAGTTGATTATCAATGTTTTAACTGCAGCTAAAATTGTATTTGCTCAAAATTGGAAAAATGAGAAAATTCCAATAGAGGAGGAAGTGATTAAGAAAATAATGGAATGTGCAGAAATGAGTAGATTAACATTAGCAATTAGAGAGCAAGAAGAAAAGGAGTACTATAAGATATGGGATTTATTTTATCAATGGTTAGATGGAAAAGTAGGAAATTGAAGAATAATATAATAGTAATGATATGTTATAATTGATTATTTCTGAATAAGTCATGCTATGAATAAAAATTAGTAAGACCTGATATTTGCTCTTAAGAATAACATGGAATTGAAATTAAAAGATTAATGTTAGTATGATAATGATACAATATGATATGAAAAATCAATTAATACAATATGAATGTAAATATAAGAGGAAAAGACTTTAGATATTGTGCACAAGACATATATACCAAACCAACACACTGTGTAACTGAAAAGAGGGTTTTATTTGTTGTTTTGTATGTTTGTTGTAAAAAATAAAACACTTTAAAGAAAGATAGGGGAGGAATTGCAGAACAGCCAGAGGGAGAGGTTGGATCCTGGTGAGGGAGGGGATGAGGAGTTGCTTTCACATTACAGTAACTACTTTCCTTGCCCTCTGGGCCCCATCCAGAATAAAAAAATTCCTCTTACCTCTAAACCGGTGAAGTAGGCCTGAAGAGGCCTATTGCTGGGCTGCAGCCTTGCCCTGCTGGTCACCACAGTAAAATAAGGGACCTGCATACAGGTCTACTGGCGCCCACGCGTTTACCTCAGTGCTGGAACAGGAACCACAGCACTGGCAACATGGACGATCTGCGCCACCAGCTAACCTCGATCCACTCCTTCGGTGCCAACCGCTGCCACGCAGCTGCGCCACCCAGCTGGGATCAGGCCAACTGTCTGATCAAGCGGCTTGCTTTGCACTGCTGCAAAGCCTTCCTCATCTGCTGGGCCGATTGCCCTCTCAGCTGCTGCTGCCTGCTGCTACGCTGAGTGCTTTGCAGCCAAAGTGATCTAAAACGAAAGGAAAACGGGCCATTCGCCCGTGCTGCTGCTGCGCTACCGCGCAAAACAGCTGAGACCCTTATCGGCTTGATCACTGGGAGCCGCTCCACATGGTCATGGTTCCATGCGCTAGGGCGGCCGCCCTGCCAAGAATGGAGGTAAAAAAACCTCTCTTGGCTGCAGCTCTAAAAAACTCCTTCCTGAGGCTTTTAAACCTTTTAAACTTTTTTTCTTTGAAAGAAACGGCCTCCACTTCCAATCGAAGTGGAGCCCCAGCAATTCACGTTCGTCCTGGCTGGACTGAGTGAAAACTGGGGCGTGGCCACGGCGCAGGGCAGAGCTTCAAATATCATGCAGACTCAGTCCAACAAGGCAGAGGAACTGAGCATACCCAATCTCTCTGGACTCTCGGAGCCACAGAGAGGAAAATTGAAGGCCCATTTGCAAACGCTTATTTTCTTTAATAAACCTTTGAATTGTGAACCAGACCTGTCTCTGTATTGTGAGTATTAAATAATTCGGGTCTTACATCTCACAATCTTGGTGTCCAATGTGGGGCTTGAGGGCCTCTTTTGGGGTTCCCTGCATTAATTCTGGGGGCGCGCCGGTTGATTTCAACTGCCTAGAGTAATCTGAGACTGGACTTCCATTTCCGGGCCCCAAGCCGAAACTGAATTGACAACTCTGGTCCACAATATCAAAGGAAAAGGAAGGACGCAACCATTGAGACTCTAAGAGGACCAGGCAACCCGGTATACCAGCCCAGGTAAGTTGCCCTGAAGGAGGGAACGCACACTTGTACCTGGGTGGTCGGGAGAGTGATTGTGGAAGGTTTGTCAATAACAGCAGTGTGTGTGTGCTGGACTGTGTTCCGGGAACACTAGTGAAGTCCAGAGCTAGTGTGGACCTGAAAGGTTGCGGTTCCTTACTCCTGTGAGAGGGGAAGGCCAGCCTGAAGGGAAGCAGACTGGTGTTGTGTTGTGAACGGCTGTAAAATCGAGAAACTCAGGAAAACATAATCAGGAAAACTCTCAAGGGAAAACGGGCAATAAATGTACTTGTTGTGTTAAGCCTAGGAAAGATAAACTTACTATAAAATTAACTAGCAGTACTGTAGAAATACCATCAAAAAATTTAAGAAACAAATGAAGAAATTACAGGAGGAACCACATGCAGTCGAGGAGGAAGTAGTGGCATTATTTGGGCCAAACCTGGGATATGGGAAGACTCAGATAATTTGACTTGATCAATTTGATGTGATTTCTGTTAAAAGTTCTTAGATGTGCATCTATAATAATTGCATGCAGAATTGAATGGGATGGGATTGAAGAAAAATATCTTTACCTGTGTATAACCCCAGTTGGGCAGCTGCAGCTCAAAACAAAATATACTTGTGAGATGTTTGGCCAACCAGAGAACTAAATGGGCTTTTTGGCTTGGGCCGAAGGCTGTGGGAAACAGGGAGGCAGTGGTTAGGGCCCACAATCACACTTTTGATTGGAACCACTCCTTGAGTTTTCCTACTGCTTTGAGAACAAACTACAGGTTGCCCAAGGAAAGAAAAAGTGGAGATTTAAAGGAACAAAACCTCCCCAGGTCTGGAAATGTTGTTTATGTGTACATGAATATGTTTGTGTGTAATCATTTCCAAACCTGGAAGATGAGACCCTCCAAAAATAGTATACAAAAAGATTTAGAAAATGGAGCTCATTAGCTAAAATAATTACAATTGGTTTGTTTGGAGAAAGCATGAAATGAATTTTTCTGTGTGAAATTGTTTATGCAAGCAGTCTGATTTCAGTACAAATGTGTGAGTATGTTGATGGTAAAAAGTTGGGGTGAACGTCTGTGTGTTGAGCCCAATCCCAGATAAAAAGGAGGTAGTATTTTGATTCCCTGTCTTACAAAGAAACAGTAAGTTGCAAGGTTTTTGTTGTTGTGGTGGTGAAGTAGGTGGAAAGGTAATAGCAAGTGTTTGCAAGGAAGATCCCATGGAGAATGTGGGAGAGAAAAGAGGGGTGGGAAATAGAGGAATGTGGCGAGGCAGAGGAAAAGGAATGTGGACTGGATATAGTAGAAGGACACAGTGTTTTAGGTGCGGAAGGGATGGACATTTTGCCAGAAACTGTCCACAAAAGGAAGTAGAAAGAGAAAAGGAACAGAAAGTATATTAATTGATGGATGAGGATGAGGATTAGAGGAGATAGGAGTGTCCCAATTTACGCATAAAGAGGGAGAAGAGATGAAAAATGATGGGATAGGACAGGATAAGGAAGGGAGATGGTTTCTGATGGATGGAAGACAAGTTTTTAACAAAGCTATTACTAGAAATGTGATGGGAAAACTACATGAAGGAAGTCATTGGGGAATTCAAGCTATTGTAGATGAACTTTTGAAATGTTATGGTTGTATTGGAATATATCCTGTGGCAAAATCAATTATAGACAAATGTTTAATTTGTAAAAAGGTAAACAGACAAGCTGCCAGGAAACAACAGATGGGTGGAAGGCCACCAGCGCTAAGACCCTTTCAGTGTATTCTAGTGGATTTTACAGAATTGCCAAAAGTGGGGGGAGTAAAATCTTTATTGGTCAGAGTAGACCAGCTCACAGGGTGAGTTGAAGCTTTTCCCTTCAGTAATGTTACAGCAACAGTGGTGTTAAGAGTATTGTTAGATCAAATTAATATTGGAAACACATATGCCATGGACTAAATGTCTTCCTTTAAGTCCTACTGAGAATACGAACTCAACCTAGAAAAGATGTGGGAATATCACCATTTGAAATGTTGTTTGGGATACCATATATGGGGAGGGAAGGTTTACCAAGAATTGAATTAAAAGAAAAAATAATCAGAAATATGTACAAGAACTGTCCAGATGTTTTTCTCTTTTATGACAGAAAGGCATTCTCACACAAACATCACCCTTGGACTTTGCTGTACACCAATATAAAGCAGGACAGTGGGTGTTGATAAAGGCCTGGAAGGATGAGAAATTGACTCCAACTTGGGAAGGACCTTTCATTATCCTGTAGACCACTGAAACTGCAATTCAAACTGCGAAAAAGCGTGGACTCATTACCAGGTGAAAGGGCCCATGCCAGCCCCAAAGGAGTGGAAGGTGGAATCTCACCAAGGAGATCCACTGAAGCTGACGATCTGAAAAACCTAATGGACTGGTGGACAATCCTTTTACCTGTAGGAGGGGTAATATTCACTCTTGGATTAACTTTTGTTTTTTCTATTCAGAGCAGAATGGTTGCCTACGCTCTTTCCTCAGCTGAAGGAGACTACAACTGATTCCATTGCACGCCCTCCCAGATGTGTTGGTTTTGTAATTGTGTTTGTGGATGTTGTTGTTCTCATTGCATTGATTGTGTATGTAGTATTGGGTGTAAGATAGTGTGTTATGAGAAAAAGAAGAATGATAAAAGGGTAGCAGTATGAGACATGATTTGTTTGACTGTATGGAATAACAACAGTTGGTGGGGAGGAAGTGGAACCTCAGAAAAGGAAGTATTAAGTGAAATAACTGAAATGGCTTATTTGAAGGATCCCGAAAGTGACACTCTGGACTGAGTAGCTCTGGAAGGTATGTATTGGATATGTGAAAAGTATGCCTATGGATATCTACCTAAGGGGTGGTATGGATCTTGTATATTGGGAATAATCAAGCCAAGCTTTTTCCTCCTCCCCATTAGACAAAAGCAACTGTTGGGACTAGCTGTATATGATGATCTAGCTAATCAGGTCAAAACAAAAAGAGCTGTACAACCAAGTGATATAAAAATTGGAAACTGGAAGGAATTAGCCAAATTTGTTATCTTGCGATTCCTAGCCCTGATGATGTTACCGTGTTTGATTCCTCTCATACAAATCCTAATAAAAAAGAACTACGAGTAGCATGACTCTAATAACGTCAATAGGGTGGTGGTGGTGAAGGAAACTATGTTGATACTGAAAGTAGAAAGACAAAGGTTGGAAACAGAAGATTCAGAGTATAAAAATTTGCTTTCACATGAACCTAGAGAGCATAGGAAACTATGAATTGTTGCAAGTATAAAAGAGTAATTCAGGAAGAAAAGGGTGGATTTGAAGGAAATAAATATTAAGTTACTCTTTTATAATAGAATTAGAAATATTAAGTGCATTATTAAGCTGTGTTGTCTTTGTTGCTGTATCCTAACCATGAAGTACAGTATGTTCAGTTAAACAAAACATGCTGGTTAGTTGCAGGCTTCTTAGAAAACAGGAACATCCGCCCAGGCAAGGCCACTGGCAATAAAACAGGCACATAAGATAGGAACATCCGCCAAGGCGAAGCTACAAGTAAACAAAATAAGATATCTGGTGCTTAGGAAGAAACCGTCAAGAAGAAACCCTTTACCTTATAGTATGACTTAAAGATAATAAGGGGAGTGGGGAGGGCTTCTTAGGCGTGGTGTGCATTGCATAGAGTGTATAAAATGTATTGTTTGACCATTAGATCTTGCTCTTCTTTTACCCAATCCACTTTGGAAGGGACTTGAAGGCCCATTTGCAAACGCTTATTTTCTTTAATAAACCTTTGAATTGTGAACCAGACCTGTCTCTGTATTGTGAGTATTAAATAATTTGGGTCTTACATCTCACAATATTTAGCCGAGATTGCCTATGATTTTTTGGTTTCAAAGAAGACCTGTGGAGCCCAGAAGGATTGTGTGCTTGTACTGCATGCTAGCTTCCCGTTATATACAGTATCTCACAGAAGTGAGTCCACCCCCTCACATTTTGTAAATATTGAAGTATATCTTTTCATGTGACAACACTGAAGAAATGACACTTGGCTACAATGTAAAGTAGTAAGTATACAGCTTGTATAACAGTGCAAATTTGCTGTCCCCTCAAACTAACTCAACACACAACCATTAATGTCTAAACCCCTGGCAACAAAAGTGAGTACACCGCTAAGTGATAATGTCCAAATTGGGCCCAAAATGTCAATATTTTTGTGTGGCCCCCATTTTTTTCCAGCACTGCCTTAACCCTCTTGGACATAGTTCACCAGAGCTTCACAGGTTGCCACTGGAGTTAGAGACCTTGCATACTTCCACCTTCCATTTCAGGATGCCCCACAGATGCTAAATAGGGTTTAGGTTTGGAGACATGCTTGGCTAGTCCATCACCTTTACCCTCAGCTTTTTTTAGCAAGGCAGTGATCATTTTGGAGGTGTGTTTGGAGTTGTTATCATGTTGGAATACTACTCTGCAGCCCAGTCTCCAAAGGAGGGGATCATGCTCTGCTTCAGTATGTCACAGTACATGTTGGCATTTATGGTTCCCTCAATGAACTGTAGCTCCCCAGTGCCGGCAGCACTCATGTAGCCCCAGACCATGACATTTCCACCACCATGCTTGACTGTAGGCAAGACATACTTGTCTTTGTACTCCTCACCTGGTTACCGCCACACACACTTGACATCATCTGAACCACGCAGTTGGACTACCTGGGATACCGAGTCTCCAATAAAGGCATAGAGATGGACCCAGCCAAAGTACAAGTCGTCCTCAGTTGGCAAGCCCCTCGCACCCACAGACAGCTACAAAGCTTCCTGGGGTTTGCAAACTTCTACCGGCAATTCATTCACAATTTATCTTGGTCTCAGTGGACCACAGTCTGCTTGTCTGCAGCAAACCGTTTGCGGGCTTTCTTGTGCATCATCTTTAGAAGAGACTTCCTTCTGGGACGACAGCCCTGCAGACCAATTTGATGCAGCATGCAGTGTATGGTCTGAGCACTGACAGGCTGACCCCACCCCCACCTCTTCAACCTCTGCAGCAATGCTGGAAGCACTCATACGTCTTGTTTCCCAAAGCCAACCTCTGGATATGACACTGAGCATGGGCACTCAACTTTGGTTGACCATGACGAGGCCTGTTCTGAGTGGAACCTGTCCTGTTAAACTGCTGTATGGTCTTGCCCACCATCCTGCAGCTCAGTTTCAGGTTCTTGCCAATCTTTTTATAGCCTAGGACATCTTTATGTGGAGCAACAATTCATTTTTTCAGATCCTCAGAGAGTTCATTATTATGAGGTGCCATGTTGAACTTCCAGTGACCAGTATGAGAGTGAGAGCGATAACACCAAATTTAACACATTTGCTCCCCCTTCACATCTGAGATCTTGTAACACTAACAAGTCACATGACACCAGGGAGGGGAAACAGCTACTTGGGCCCAATTTGGACATTATCACTTAGGGGTGTACTCACTTTTGTTACCTGCAGTTTGAACATTAATGGCTGTGTGTTGTGTTAGTTTGAGGGGACAGCACATTTACACTGTTATACAAGCTGTATACTTACTACTTTACATTGTAGCCAAGCGTCATTTCTTCAGTGTAGTCACATGAAAAGATATACTTCAATATTTACAAAATGTGAGGGGGTGGACTCACTTCTGTGAGATACTGTAAGTCACTCTAGGAAAACCTAGTTCTGAATGGCAGCATATAATGTAGGTACCTATAAGTCACCTATCTCTGTAATGGTGGATGGGACTCTGCTGCATATTAAGCCTTTGCCATTAATCCGTGTCCCTTTTCTCCTCTGCCTCTTACCTGTCCTTCTCATCCTTGATCACTGGCCTTTCAGACTTCTCACTCTCCTTGTCAAGCTGGCTGCTTCCATGCTCTGTACCATCATTGCAGCCACCTTTGGGCCAGGATGGGGCAGTAGGGAAGGAAGGAGGTGTACGGTGTAAGCAATTCCATGCCTCACGTGGACTAGGGAAGGCAGGAGCTCCAGGACTGTCCTTCTGCCCAAAGACTGCACTTGAGTCTGGGAAGGAGAAAAGAAAGATCAGGCAGTCATGCTAGATGCAATGTTGCCCTTACAGCCTAAGGATCAATGACAAGTAGATACGGAAGGAACTGAATTATCTCATAAAAAGAGTGATAGTAGTTATCACAATAGAGCAGAGCAATCCACACTCACAAAGACACATGGTACAGTCTTATTAAATCATTCTACTTCTAAATGCTGGTGGAATGATTCATTCAAAGGAGAAAGAGGGAGAATGCTCACTCACAAAAGAATTGTCAACACATTGGGAGCTATTACAGGTAGTGCTCAATTTACAATCACAATTCAGCCCAAAATTTATGTTGCTAAGTGAAAAATTTGTTAAGTGAGTTTTACCCCATTTTACGGCTTTTCTAGCCACATTTATTAAGTGAATCAGTGTCAGCCTTCAAGATTTTTTTCCTTTGCTTTGCATCTTTCAGCTGTCATAAGTAACGGGGGTGGAGGAGGGGGGACATGGTTATGGGAAGCAAGCTGGAGGTGTTACAAAACAGAACTGAATAAGTTGGGGGGGGAAGGTTCTTGTTTAGGCTTCTATCCTATGCTATGTGCAGCCGCAACTCTTTATCAAAATATGTCAAGGTCAACGGACAGAGGCCTCATCACCACCTGGAGATGCCCACATGATGATATACACAACTTTTAACTGGATGAGCCAGTTGAACTATTGGGGGTGGGAACGTTGCCATCACTTTGTATATGTGATTTACGTGCTCATTTTCTCAGATTCAGAATTCTTTTGTTGCTACCACTTGATTTCCAGTAAAATATATCTTTTCTCTAATTAATGGAGTCTAAGTATTTCTTTCTTGGATTTTGAATGGAGCACCAGCTGACAATCAGTGCAGTTGTTAATAAAACAATTGTTAAGTGAACCTGGATTCCCCATTGCCTTTGCTTGTCAGAAGGCTGCACATGACCCCAGGACAGTGCAACTGTCATAAATATGAACCAGTTATCAAGCATCAAAATGTAAATCACATGACCACGGGGATGCTGCAATGGTCATAAGTGTGAAAAATGGTCATAAGTCACTTTTTTCAGTGCCAATGTAACTTTGAACGGTCACTAAATGAACTGTTGTAAGTCAAGGACTGCCTGTATATGACAGAGAAACCTCCAGCCTAAGTTTCTCTCTTAGATGCCTGATAAAGCAATCTGACTTTCCTGACTGTCTCTGCCTTTTCTAAAGGGTAGAGATTTGAGTGGAGTTTACCATAAGCTGTTTTCAACAGAAAAATTAAAAGCCTTATATAATAAACCTTGCAAAAATTATCAAATGGGTAGGAGATAAATACAACTGGCCTTAAATGCAAGCTACTCAATGCAAGAAGCCTTATGAATAAAATACCTGAATTTCTCCTCTTACTAAATATGGCTAAATTCGACATCATATTTGTCTGTGAAACATGGCTCATCGCATCTCTCCCTGACCCCATTACCTCAGTAAGAGACTACTATGTTTACCGATCAGATCGTGAAGTCCGTAGAGGAGGTGGTTTTGCTATCTTCTATAAAAAGTCCTTACATCTAAAAAACATCCAAGTTACCCAGGAGCTTGCTCTTCCTGAGACCATCGTCTGTGAACTCTCCTTAAATATCACATTTTGATTCTTACTATGTTACAGAGCCCCTGATTATGACATTGAATATGTAAACAAGCTAAATTCACTACTAACATGGGCAACATCCTGCCCACACGCTTTTATCTTTCTTGGTGACTTCAATCTACCTCAAATTAACTGGACCCTAGACGAATGTAAATCTGAACCCATACATGCAACCTTCTACAATGCTGTAACAAACCTGGGACTGGAACAACTAGTAACCAACAATACTAGACTTAACAACTGCCTCGATCTCATCTTCTGCAAGAGTTTGAATTCAATTTACGGAATACAAATTAAAGAACCCTTTTCCAACAGTGACCACAACATGATTGACTTTTGTCTCAACATACGTCCACACAAAAATCATCACAACGACGTAATCCCCATTTATAACTTCAAGAAAGGCAACTATGATCTTATAGATAATGATCTCTCATCCCTTGATTGGCAATTTCTATTCACTGGATGCAATACTGTTGAAGACCATTACAACATATTTTTACTTGAAGTCAAAAGAGTCATCAAACTATATGTACCAATAACAACTCCCAAAACCAGAAAAAAACAGATTACCCATAACAATAAGGAAGCTTCAATCCAAAAAGAGATCACTTTGGCAGAAAAACAAATCTGGTCACGTTGCCAACTTCAAAAGCTGATACAAAAATTTATGCCACCAGATAAAGACCGAATGCACCAATTATCGCATTAAATAAGAGGAAAACCTTCTATGCACCAATTCCACCTGCGCTTTCTTCAATTTTGTAAACAACAAACTAAAAGACTCAAAGACTGCAACATGGTAAAGACTGCAACAACGACACCATTAAAGCCAACCTCTTTAACACATTCTTTGGCTCAGTATTTGTAAACAGCAATGGATCATGCCCAGTATTTCCCAGTTGAACCACAGACAACTACAATGATCTAATACATATCGATTTTACAGAAGACAGTGTTGAAAAAACACTACGCAATCTAAAACCATCTCTATCTATTGGACCGGACGGAATATGTACCTACTTCTTTAAAAAGCTATCCACTGCCATAGCCAAACCTCTTAGCATAAACTTTGACAAATCTTTCAAGACCAGCTCCTTGCCAAACCTATGGTCACAAGCCACAGTCATCCCCATCTTAAAAAAGGGAGACCCCAGCCTAGTTGAAAATTACAGACCAATCTCTTTATGTTGCGTCACCTGTAAAGTCATGGAATCAATTATTAACCAATCCATTATACTCCACTTAGAGACAAACAACCTACTCTCTAATAAACAATTTGGTTTCAGAAAAAAACTATCCTGTAATCTGCAACTCTTACACTGCAAAAACATATGGACTACACAACTCGATCAGGGCAAAGCAATAGACGCAATCTATATAGACTTCTGTAAAGCCTTTGATTCAGTGGTACACGACAATCTAAAACTAAAATCTTATGGTATCTCTGGACACCTGCATAACTGGATAGAAGCATTCCTGTCAAACAGACAACAAATGGTCAGAATTGGGAGCGTCCTATCAAATTCTGTACCTGTCAACAGTGGTGTCCCCCAAGGCAGTGTTCTAGGACCAACTCTCTTCATACTCTACATAAATGACCTCTGTGATCATATTAAGAGCAACTGCGTTCTCTTCACTCCTCGACTATGTATCAGAATGGTCAAACAAATGGCAACTTCAAATCTCAACAAATAAATGCTCTGTCTTACATATTGGCAAAAAAAATCCGAAAATAAAATACAGGCTGAATAGTCAAGACCTTGTTGATGATCCAAACTTTGTCAAGGACCTTGGGGTACTCATCTCTAATGATCTAAGTGCTAGAGCCCACTGTAACTACATAGCCAAAAAGGCATTAAGAGTTGTTAACCTAATCTTACGTAGCTTTTTCTCTGGTAATATTACACTACTAACTAGAGCATACAAAACATTTGCACTTGAATACAGCTCATCAGTCTGGAACCCACATTATGTATTTGATATTAACACAGTTGAGATAGTCCAGAAATATTTCACAAGAAGATTTCTCCACTCCTCTACTCATTGCAGAATACCTTATGCCACCAGACTCAAAATTCTAGACCTAGAAAACTGAGAACTACGCCACCTTCAGTCCGATCTAAATATAGTATATAAAAACATACATTGCAATGTCCTACCTGTCAAATGAATACTTCAGCTTCAACCATAACAATACAAGAGCACACAATAGATACAAACTCAAGGTAAACTTTACCAAACTTGATTGCAGGAAATACGACTTCAGCAACAGAGTGGTCAATGTCTGGAATACTCTTCCTGAATCTGTGGTTTCTTCCCCAAACCCCAAAAACTTTAACCTTAGACTGTCTACTATTGACCTCACCCCTTTCCTAAGAGGTCTGTAGGGGGCGTGCATAAGCGCACCAGCGTGCCTACCGTCCCTGTCCTATTGATTCTTTTTCTTATATGTATCCATTTCATGTATTCATAACTATGTTTATACTTATACCTATTATCTTGTAAGCGATTGACATATCAAATAAATAAGAATAAAAATAAATGGAATTCTATGAATCGAGCAGACGAATCCAAAACCCGTGGTAAAGGAAAACAGTAAAAAGCTAAAACTTCTGAAATTTTTCCTCTTGATAATGTGCTGTAGAGGAGACAGTCATCAGCTCTGTGTTACTTGTGAGCTGTTAACAGAAAGGTGTTTAGCATCTGATGCTTCATTATGCGCTCGCTTGACTGGTAAAAAAAAACGTTCAACTTGTGGCATTCCTAGTCTTTCATGTGGCCTCAGAAATCAACCGCCAAAATCCAAGATTCAACAGCAGCTGACTAGGAAATCACAAAGCTACGATCCCCTAGCGCTTGATAGATAGAAAGGAAAATGATGAATGCTCTACTCTCAAAAGAGATTTAACCTAAACATTTGTGACACTGTGGCCCTGGAGGTGTTCATACAGCATGAGTTGACCAAGATAACCCTACAGCTGGAGAGTTAACTGTGTTCTAGCTGTGGCTGAGCTGCAATGTCTGCCTGTCATCATGGCTGCCATTTTTCAAATCATCCTTAACTTGCAGAGACTAGGAAGCCTTTGTTGTCCTTTTAATTTTTTAACTACAGCTGAAACAATCATAGTAATATATGGGTCAGTGTTACTGCAGATGCAGTCAAGGGATCTTATTTCTGTCCGATTTTCGCACATACCCACTGCAGAACAGGGGAAGGATGACGACTGAAATGGCAATACAGCGTATAGTTCTCTAAGACTTCACAAGAACCTCAGCAGTTGGAATGAAAAATTAACATTCAAGTAAGTAATGGGGAAGTTTATAGTCCTTGGTTGCTTCCCCCTCCCCATCTTTTAAAATGCTGGTATGCAAACAAGGCCCATTCTTGCTTAGCCATTTTGATAACCCACAGAAAGCTGCCTTGTGCCCTTTCTCTTAAAAATACTCACTGAAGGATGGGTTTCCCAGGCCGCCAAATGCCCCATTGGAGAGGGTGCCCAGAGAGGCAAAGCTAGGAGGCCTGCCAAAGGGATCTGGAAAAGAAATCAGTGGAGGAGTGAGCAATCATACAGAAGAGCTACTGGATCCTGTTCTTTTGGCTGCATTACTCTGGGACATCAGGTCTTACCAATGTGGGGGCTGGGGTTGAGGAAAGAGCCATGAGTAGCAGTGGCAGGAGCAAAGGAGGGGACATTACCTGGATGAACGACACCTACAAGAGAGAGGAAGTGAGGACACAATATTAGATTAACATAAAAAGGGGGGAAGAGAATGATGAGTATATTTCACATCAAAAGAATGATGACTCACAAAACAAAAATATTTCAAGGGTAAAATGTAATTTAAGCACATGTTTTAAGTGCCTCAATTAGTTTTCTCTCATAACCCCTGTATTAAGGTAAGGCCTGCCTGTTCAGGTTTCCAGACAGAAAACTGAGGAAAGCATAAAGGCTAACATTGTGGGTCTTATTATCAAAACACCAAGTGCCGTAGCAGGCAGATGGCACAATTAGTAGCAGTGGCCAAAAATGGGCAGGGTGAGCTTTAGAAAGTCTCAGTCATTTAATTGTCAAGGAAAAGCCTTCCAGTAGTTGTGAAAAGTACACTGACCAGCGGCTGTGAAAAGGGTGGCAGGGCGTGCCAGCTCCTGGCTATGGGGCAGACTGCCAAAGGCTCTGGTCTCAGGCAAGCAAGTGAGGAGGTCATTCCGGAAATCCAATTTATGGGGATCACCCTGCATCAGCTATGAGGAAACAGAAGAGCAAGAAGTCCTAGTAAGCAACAAGTCAGGCACAAGTCAATCCAACTGGCCTCACTCTATATACTTTGGCAGAGATCTCTCCTATTCTGCCTCACAACAGTCTCGTGATTCTGCTCACCAACCTCTAACCCAGCACCACAAACCCCAACTTGGATCCAGCATCCAGCATGGGAGACATCAGAAGAGCAAGGTTTCCTCTCCATTTGGTTGCAGGGACCTCCTGTGCCACACCCTGACAATGTACACAGCAGGTGGAGGGAAAAGGTGGCCCAGGCTCACCCTACCTTTATTTTTTCCTGATGCCGCAGGATCATATATGCCACACGGACGTGCATGGCGCACCACTTCCCCAGCTTCTGTGAGAGAAGGGGGAATTATCAGCTCTGCACATTATGTCCCTGAGGGCCAGGAACGTGTTGCCCTATACCCTGACTTCTTCACTCTCCCCACTCCAGGGTGTATCTCCCCCTCCCACCACTTCTAGTCCTTTCACCTCACGTATCCACCCGTTTGCAGTGAGATCAAAGGGTCTCCCCAATGTTACTCACTCTCAAGGTCGGCCTGAAAGGATCAGTGATCTGCAAGGAGACAGAAAAACCACATGGTGGTGGGTAATCCTCTCCCCACTGTCCCTGCCATTCTCCCGAATAGAGGGTAAACTCACCTGGCTGCCTTTCTGGGACATGCTGGGCGGGACAGCACCCAGCTGGGAAGGCAGGTCAGGATTAGTGCTCTGAGGAAGAAAGAAAGCAAAACAAACCATTAAATATAAGCACAATCAATTGATTAGCATTCCCTAGCATAGACCGTCTTGAAATCGTCCCCTCCAACTGCAGAGTTCACAAAGCTTTCAGCTTCTTCCACTGAAATATTCTAGTTTCACACCCAGTTGCCTTGGAATTGTAATTCCTTTTGTTACCTACCAAATTATTGGCAAACATTAAATGGCACCACTCTATGGAACCATATACAACTCCATAGCTTTTTTCAAAACCTGAGTTCTTTCTCAAAGTTCATGGCTGAATTGGCATGTCAAATACTTGCCCTCTCATGCTCAGACCCATTGAACTGCATTCTTTTTGGATCACCACACTTCTCCACAGCCCTAATCTATCCCACCAAACTCACTGTGTGCAGAAAACTCAAGCGTCACAGTCCTCAACCCCTCCCCCACTATAATATGCAAAAAGGCCTTCATTACCGGAAAGTAAGCAGAAAAGCCAGAAGCTCTCAATTCAAAAGCTTTCCCTCTGCTCACACTTCCACAAAACCCCATTGGTCTACTGTGTCTGGAGGGTTCACCTTAGGTTGAAATGCCCCCTGCAGGGAGCCAAAATTCACAGAAGGCAGGACTGGGGAGATCCCCGACACGGTTGTGGGGTAGGCAGGATAAAACTGGAAGAAGAAGAGAAAGCAATGGAAGCGCCACCCAGAGAACTGAGGCAGGAGAGGGTTCTGTTCCTTTCTCAGGATGCAGTTTGGTAAATTTCATCAGGGGCCCTTTAAAAGGCCAGCCCCCTCCTCCAAAATGAATGCACTTACATTATGTCTCAGAAGCCCATCCATTTTCCCAGTGTACTTCTCATACTGCAGAAAGAGAAAAGAAATCAGAAAAGACCCTTGTTTAAATGGGTCAGGCAGGTCCCAGGAGAAGGGAGGGAAAGAAAGAGAATTGTCAGGCCCCAAAACCAGGAAAGGCTCATGTTGATTCTTCCAATACCTATAGACAGAATCTTGCCAAACCAAAGCCCTCTATTCTCTACATCACGCATAGACTCTAAGAGCTATTAGGGAGGGGTTGTATTCACCCCCTTTCTCTCACACAAAATATCTGGATTGAGCTGTCTCTTATTCCTCTGGGATGCGCCCCTCCCTCCTGGCAATCCACCTCACCACACTGCATCATAAGTGTCATGCCCCTGTCAGAATCTGATTCTGAGGGGGAGGCCAAGCAGCTGACAGGGAGTGGGAGTGTGGCTCCGTTGGCTGTGGAAGAAACTGGGGAAGGGCACAGTCTGGCTGGGCAGAGCAGGGGAGAGGTAGAGCAAGGCAGAGGGAATTCAGAGGAAGATCCAGGCCCATCCCCTCTTCATCCTAGGGCACGCAGGGAGGAATGGAGAAGGGAGCAATGTGAGTTGCGTGGCTTACCGGGGAGGAAAGGGTGCTGATTCCCTTCATTAGCTGCAGCTGGGAACACAGTGTTTAAAAAGGCAAGCTATGCACAGCAAAGTTGCTGGAAGCAAATTGTGTATTATCTTGTTTTGTCAAGGCTTATCTGGGTTCCTGGCGTCTTCGCAACTGTGTGTGTTTTGTTGGCCTTTGAAGTCTGCAATTCCTTATCCTGCCCTGTCAAGTTAATTACTGCTGTGTGGTTTGTGTGGATTTTTATTTACAGTTTGTATGTACTTTGTTTTCGGACTGAATTTTCTCCACTTAAAGACTGTTCTTGGGAGAGTTTGTTTTCTCCAGCCAAAGGTAACCTGGACATTGGGGGCAAAGTTACAGGTATTAAAGGGACTCTTCTTACTTATGTGACTGTGTTGCTTTTGTGCCATGCCCCAGGTCATCACATTAAGAATCCCTTTAAACTAACTTCTAAATTCTGATAGACCAAGTTGATCCTACTAGATCAGGGGTGTCAAACTCAAGGCCCATGAGCCACTTAAATCTGGTCCATGGGGCCACCCTGGAAATAGCAAAGGACCAGCCTGTGGTACCTCTGGCAGCCAAAACAGGGCAGGGGGGGCCTCACACGGCCTCCCATGCACCTGTTTTCAGCCTGGATGTCCTCTTGTAGCATCCTGCCGGCTAAAATGGGGTGCCCCGTTTTGGCCAGCAGGGTGCTGCAACAGGACGTCCAGGCAAAAAATGGGGGGGGGGAAGCTTGCATGGCCACCCCGTGTCCTGTTTTGGCCAGCAGGGTGCTGCAGAGGAGGCGTCTGTCCGGTCTCCCACCCCACCCAATCCCACCCCTGGCCGGCCTGTGGAGAACTACAATGCTGATCCAGCTGTCGAAGAAATCCAGTTCGACACCCCTGTACCAGATGCTGTAAGCCCCATGACCCATGAAGTCTTGCCTGCCACCTTGCTAAGTCTCTACTGCACTTACTATGGCTGGGCTGGGTGTGGGTACCATGCTTGATGAGAAAGGAGTGAAGTGCTGGTGGGTGTGCTGGTGGGTGTGCTGGTGCTGGTGGTTGTGTTGGTGGAACTGGAAAGCCAGAGGGCGAATGGCAGCAGCTCCCATGTCGGCCCCGCCTTGCGTCGTAAGGAATCGGGAACTCAAGTCCTGGCGGATTAATTCTTGTTCTGAGGAGACAGAAGAACAACCTGTAATTGCCAACTGCCAAGAGAAAAAGGAACCAATGGTGAAAAAAAAGAAGAGTTAACTCACCCCCCCCAACTCTCCATGAACAGGAAACCCTTGATTTATGATCGGTCGCTTAATGATCAATTTAGGACAAAGCACCCCAAAGCTACTTAGGAACCATTTTCAGAATTATATGGCTGCATACTACTACCCCATGGTCATGTGATCACATTTTTGGCACATTTTTTTATTTTAGAACATTTATATACAGGGGTGGGATTCAAATTTCTTAACAACCAGTTATGTGGGTGTGGCCTAATTTGTGGGTGTGGCTTGGTGGTCATGTGACTGGCTGGGCATGGCTTGTATATTGTACATTATATTTATGTAAATATTGAATTTTTTATTAAAAAAGAGCAACTTTTACCCAAAATCAGGCAAAGCAAACAGGCAGATTGAATTGTTCACAGAATCAGATTCACTTAGAGATCTGTGTTTCTGCCATCTGCTACCTGAGTCTGCACTGAATAATAGAAGCTTCAGGCTCAGCTCTGCTTTTAGATTAGCTAGAAAGCAAGAAATCCATCGATTTCCTGCTTTCTAGCTAATCTAAATCTCCCGGCACAGCAAAACAGCTGATGGTAGAAAAAAAGAGGAAAAATAGCAACTTAGCAGGCAAGTTTGATGTCGTGCATGTCAGGTAAGGAGTGGGCGGGGCGGGGCCAGCCAGGGGCATGATTTGCCGGTTCTCTGGCAGGTAGAATCCCACCCCTTGTGAGAGTGTGTTTTGCGCATGCATGTAGACCATTTCCTAAAAACCTCAGCTGTGCCGCCCGGACAGCTGACAAACGCTATGCACAGGTGTGCAGCGTTTGAAAATCCTCTTCTTTCTTGCTTTTTCAACCTCAGCTGTGCCGCGCAAAGCAGCTGAGGTTGAAAAAGCAGGAAATAAAGGACAGCCAAGAGCCCGGGTGGGTGGCTGGGCCAAACAGAGCAGCAGACACTGAACCGGTTCGTTGTCTGCTGCTCTTTAGAGCTATCGGTTCTATAGAACCGAGCCGAACCAGTAGCATCCCACCCGTTTATATAGCTGCCTACGTGTCACAGTGACTCTAGGCAGCTTACAAACAGTAAAAACACAAAATAGGAAAAAAAAGAGATAAAAATTAAAAAAGATAAAACACAATAACCTGCAACCACCCACCGCAACAGTACACAATTAAATAAACCATTTGATGGGCTCAATTACACTCTAGGTTCTCCAGGCCTGCTGCTAAAACCATATCTTCAGGACTTTCCAAAAGACTGCCAAAGTCTAATTTCTGCAGGGATGATGTTTCAAAGGGAGGGAGCCACCATGGAAAAGGCTCTTCTTCTGGGTCCCGCAACATTCCTTGCCTCCCCTCTCTTTCACCTTTACTGTTTGCACTGTTCTGTGGTGACATGACCATGATTTGCAATTGTTTTTTAGATTTTTCTGTCGTTTACTTCTGGTTTGTGATAAAAACAGCGAAGGGGGATGATTCACTTAACAACCCTTGTTAAAAAAACCTCACAATTTCAAATCTAGTCACCTGATACATAGACTTACAACTGCAATGACTTACAGCAGTAATTCTAGGGGTGGGATTCTACCAGTTCGCACCTATTTGCTAGAACCGGTTGTAAACATTCTAAGCAATTCAAAGAATGGGTTTTTAGAAGAAATTACTGGCCTAATCCTGTAAGGAAGGCAGGAAGGAAACATTCTGGTGTTTACAGAAACGGCCTCTCCGTTAACCCTTATTCCATTCTTGGCAGGACTAGACTTCCTGTCTCAGGAACTTCTTTGGAGTTTTTTTCCCCTCCTTTGCTGGTACTTTGCTTGTGTGGAGTGACCATTCAAAGTTACAATGGCACTGAAAAAAGTGACTTATGACCATTTTTCACACTTACAACTGTTGCAGCATCCCCACAGTCATGAGAGGCCAGGTGAAGAGATGCATGCCTCGATGTGAGTGATATTGAGTTGGCCATGCCCAGCCACATCCACCAAGTCACATGACCAAGCCACACCAACCAAGCCACGCCCACAGAACCGGTTGTTAAAAAATTTGAATCCCACCTGAGTAATTCCAGGTTCAATTACAATTGTTAGTTGAGGACTATTGATATCTTGGCCCTATACAGTTGCTCCTAATTTTTCTAATGTATTCAACTACCGGTAGTCCAGATTTTGTATCTTGCCAAGTTCTTTCTTCCATAATTATCATGTTTTCCAAGGCAGTAACAGTCCTCTTAGTTTACAGCCTCCACATATCCTGATAACATTATTCTTTTTTAAATTTCCCTTTGAAAGTATATTTCTTTTCCTTCTTGTTTCCTGTTACCAGTCTGTATTCAAACTCTTCCTTCAAAATTGGGACTAGAAATTCCTCTAAATTAACTTAAAATAATCTTATGATACCCACTGTACAGTCTTAAAGCCAGATTGTACAACTTCTGGTTCCTACACCAAATCTCAAAGTTGCCACTAAATTGTAATGTTTAACGTAGTAAAAGTGTACAATTATTAAATCAAAATGAAATGTTTACCTTAACTGTCTTTAAAGAACCCAATTTGACTGTCATTAAAGTTACGTATCAAAACAAAGTTAGTTTTTGTCCCAGTCCTGTCATGCTTATTTCATGAACTCAATCTCCAGCATGCAATTCAAAGACCAAATGTAGCTTTGTGTTCCCAAAGTGCTTGTACCCCTCTGCTCTAAACCATATGCACAATTCGGCCAAGAACACTTATGAGATTAAATATTCTGCATCAAGGGTGTCAAACTCATGTCGTCATGCGATGTATCGGGACTTTTTCCCCCTTTGCTAAACTGGGTGTAGGCGTGGCCAGTGCATGACACATCCGGCCCATGGGCCAGAAGTTTGACAGCCCTGTTCTACATCCATTCATGTAGTCCTCAACTTATGACCACAACTGACCACATTTCCATTGCAAGGGAAGACAGTTGTTAAGCAAGTTTTGCCCCATTTTTTGACCCTTCCTGCCTCCTGTTAAGTGAATCAACTGCACTTATGTTAGTAAAATAGCTGTTAAATGACTCCAGTTTCCCCATTGAGTTTGCTTATCCGAAGATTGCAAAAGGTGATCACATGACCCCAGGACACTGCACCAGTCATAAATATGAACCAACTGCCAAGCGCCCAAATTTCAATCACATGACCATGGGGATGCTACAATGGTCATGTAAGTCATAAATTACTATTTTCACTGCTGTTCTAACTTTGAACAGTCACTAAACAAATGGTTGTAAGTTGAGGACTACCTGTACAATGTACATTTTGTTCATTTTTTGACAAACACAGTTCTCACCTAAATGCATGTCCTGTACCCTGAGTATACACAACATAAGCTAAACCAAGGATGTCCAATCAGCAGCCCGCAGGCCACATGTAACTCTGGACAGCTAGTAATGCAGCCCCACAAGATACTGAACGTGTCATGCCCTTGTTGGGAGTCTGATTCTGAGGGGGAGATTGAGCAGCTGACAGGGAGTGGGAGTGTGGCTCCGGTGGCTTTGGAAGAAACGGGGGAAGGGCACAGTCTGGCTGGGCATTCAGAGGAAGACCCAGGGCCATCCCCTCTTCATCCTAGGGCATGCAGGGAGGAACGGAGAAAGGAGCAACATGGCTTATGAGAGAGGAGGCTCTGATCCCTGTCATTAGTTGCAGCTGGGAGAACAGGATATAAGTAGGGCATTTGCACATGGCTCCTCGCTGGAAGCAAAGTGTGCATTATCTTGGTTGAGGCTTATCTGAGTTTTGGCATCCTCCCAACTGTGGGTGCTGTGTTATCCTTTGAAAGCCTGCAATTTATCATCCTGGCCTGCCGTGTTAATTACTTCAGTGTGGTTCGTGTTGGTTTTTTTATTTCTAATTATCTTTACTTTGAATTCGGACTGCATTTCTGCCCTTTGTAGACTGTTTTTTGAAGAGTTTGTTATCCAGCCGAGGCTAATTGGACATTGGGGCCAAGTTGGAGACATTAAAGGACATTTATTCTACTTTTGTGACTTTGTTATATTTGTGTCACACCCCGGGTCATCACATTTTGCTTCCAGCCACCCCTCCCAACTTGCTTCTGTTTTACGTGGGGTGACCATGGATCAGCTCAGAGCAGACAGTGCCCAGTTAAGCCAGCAAGTGGCTCTTTTGACTGCGCAGGTTGTGCAAATGCAAGCTGTCCGGCCATGCCACAAATGCCCGGTAGCGGTGCCAGGTAAATTTGATGGATCACTGGCCCAATTTCCAGCATTTTGGGGGCGGTGCCAGCTTTATATGAGCATTCGGCCAGAGGACTTCCCCGCTGACTGGGATAGGGTGGGGTTTTTGATTAGTTTGTTGTCAGGATCTGCAGCACGTTGGGCGACACCTGTTGACCCAGCCCAACCAGTTGTTGGATAATTATGCCGAGTTTTGCTGTCAGTTAAAGGCCATGTTTGAGGACCCTGTTCGGGCCCAAACAGCAAACAGGCGATTCAGAGAATTGAGGCAGGGGTGAGGCTCACTCACAGACTGTATTGCTAACTTTCGGGTGGTTACACAGGACTTGCAATGGAACGAGGCAGCACTGATAGACCAGTTCCAGGAAAGCTTGTCGTCGGAGCTCCTGGACGAGTTGGCGCGCACTGAATGTCCTTGCACCCTGCTGGAGATCATGCATCTGTGCCTTCATATTGATGCCAGGCTCCAGCAGCGACAGGCGCAACGACAGAGACCGCATTTGCTCCCAGCAAGACAGCACCCCCGTTGGAAGTACCTTTGGATGAGCCCATGCAGTTGGGGGCTGCCCGCACTCGCCTGACCCAAGCTGAAAAGGATAGGCGTCGTCATAATGGCCTATGCCTCTATTGTGGCAGTCAAGGCCATTTTGTGGCCAAGGCACCGAAAGCAGCAATGTCAGCAGTGGCGGAAAACAGGCATCGCCCAGCCTACGGGGGTCTGTAGGTCGGGCTCCAGTGGCCTCAGGCCCGCCATCTTTGTCATCTTCGCCATCTACACCCCAGTCATCCTTGGTGAAGCATCTCGTGCTGACAGCGAGTGTGTTCGTGCCT